TTTCCTGCCGTGGCAGGGGGTCGGACTAGATGACCTTCTCAGGTCCCTTCCAACCCTAGAAACTATGAAACTATGAAACTATTAAAACCTACAGCAATATTTAGGCAGTGGTCCCTCTTCAAATAGATAAAAGACTTGTAAAAGGAATCCAAGTCCATATCTCAAACTTTTTTGGACTGTTCTCAAATTTCAGCCATCTCCTGGAATAGTAATGGTTCCTCTGGCAGCAGTGTCCAAACACCAGGAAAAAAAAGTAAGTGGGAATTGAGAGGAAGAAGGTGAAAAATACCTCAGGGTGACGAGAGAATTTTTTTCTGGCACCCTATTAGTGTACCGAGTCATGTTAATTCCATTTTAAAATTGTTATCTACTTTAAAGTAGCCTAAATTATTTTCTTACCAGCTTTTGCTTCAGGAGAATTAAGAAGTTGTTCCAGTGATGGTATGTGAGTAGTGGCAGAAGAGACTGACTCTGTGTCAGTTGTTTCCATTCCTTCTCCCTCTTCTCTAGTGACAGCGTTCATATCAAGAAGGAGGAGGTCAGTGTTGTTTCTCCGTTCTCGTGAGTTCTTCACTGGTAGGTTTGAAACAGCTGGCCCTGAAAGAGAAATTCTTTCTGTTGATGTGTAACAAAAAGAAAAAAAAATGCTATTTAGGTGTGGTCATGCAAGAGTAACTCAATTTGATACTAAGGAGGAAATCAGAATGAAAGACCGCATACTGCACAAGTGGCAGAATAAAACCAATCTTCACATAAGGAACTCATTTATTCTCTAAAAACAAAAAAAACTGCCTTTCACTTCATCTCCATTCTAAATTCAGCCCTTATTAACAGTAATTTAAAGAGGTTTTCAGTGCTCCTTTGAAACCAGGACAAACCCTGGAGGGGGGAAAATTGGGGCGATTGCCCTGGGCAATGGGCTCTGGGGGGCCCCGCAGAGCTGGGTGGACCAGAGCAAGCAGTGACTCTGCGCTGCCACTGCTTGCTTTGCATCCAGCCGCTTGCTAGCGCTCCACCCCGTGCTGATGCTGTCCATGGTGGCGACAGCTTCTCCAGGTCTGGGGCGTGTGGGATTGGAGCAGGGGCGGGGTCCCACATGGGCTGATTTGCCCCAAGCCCCACACCCTGCTTGGTTTGGCTTTTTTTCAAAACAAAAAGTTGCCAGGAACAACACTGAGCAGGTCAGGAGACCATCAGGCTCTTGGTAAGAGGGTTAAGGAGCTGGGAGCACAAGTGGCACTCTCATCAATCCTTTCCCTGGAAAGCAAAAGCCCAGGCATAGACCACTGAAGTAAGCCCAGGTAGAGATCATAGAAGTAAGCATGTGGTTGAGACTGTGGTGTTGGCTTTGAATTCTTTGACAACAGATGGATGTTCTGGGAAGGACTGCTATAAGAGATAAGATCCATCTGACCAGAACTGGAAAGAGCATTTTTGGGCATTGTCTAGTAAGGACGGCTTTAAAGTAGGTTCTGCAGAGGATGGGCTGAACAAAACCCTCCAGCAACAGAGCAAACCATACAGAGGGGAAAGGACTGAAAGCAGCAGCTCAGCTCTGGAATAGGGCTAGAGAGCCACAGGACAGCAAAAGGTGATGCAAAAGGGAAACAAATAGGTTGAGATGCATCCAATTTATGCAATCAAATGCAAGAAGTATGGGGAATAAACAAGAAGAACTGGAAGTCAGTCCATGAGAACTATGATCTGATTGGTATTAGAGACCTGGTGGGAAAGTTCTTATGACTGGAATGTCAACATCGAGGGCTACACTTCATTTCAGAAGGACAGGGTTGGGAGAACTTTGGTAGTGATGCCTTGTATGTCAAACACATTCACTTGTTCCTTGGTTCCAGAAAAAGAAGCTAAGAGCAGAATGTGGCAAAGGTGATCATGCAGCCCTTGGCAATAATATTTACGATGTCATGGGAGACAGGCAAGGTATAAGAGGACTGGAAAGGGGCCCATATAGAACCCCTGTTTCAAAAAGGAGGACCTGAGAAACTGTAGACCAGTTAACCTCACCTCAATACCCAGGAAGTTACTGGAGCATATCCTAAGGAAGTCCATTTACAAGCATTTAGAGGAGGAAAAGCTGATCATAAGCAGCCGGCATGGATTTACTATTGAGAAACTGTGTCAAACAAACTTTATTTGCTTCTCTGACAAAGTAACTATTTGGGCAGATGAAGGGAATACAGTTGATATATTGTGCATCTGGACTTCAGCAAGGATTCTGACAAGGTCCCACTTGATCTTCTCATAAACAAATTGGAGAACTGTTGGGTAGACAAAACTACAAGGTGGACAGACAAATGACGACAACTCTGAGCAAAGGTAGTTATACATGTTAGAATGGCAGGAGGTTTTGAGGGGAAATCTCACAGGAGTCTGTTCTGGGTCCAATGCTATTTAACATATTTATGAATGATTTGGGTCCTGATATAAGAAGCCTTTTTGAGCAAATTTGCAAATGACACAAAACTGGAAAAGACTGCAAACATGTTGGAGGACAGAAGTGGAATTCAGAAGGATCATGACAGGTTGGAAAGCTGGGTTGGAACTAACAGAATGAAGTTCAATGCAGACAAGTGTAAGGTTCTATATATACCTCAGGAAGAAAAATCAGAAGTACAAATACAAGATAGGTGACACCTGGTTGGATGGCAGCACTACAGAGAAGGATCCAAGAGTCTGGGTAGATCACAGAATTAATACAAGTGTGCAGTTTGATGCAGCTGCACAAAAGGTGAATATAGTTTTGCGATACATCCACGAAAGCATTAGGTTCAAGACGTGGGCGGTGATAGTGTTTTTCTACTTGGCACACATTAGGCATTCTCTAGTGTACTATGTGCAATTTTCTGCTTCATATTTTAAAAAGGAGATGGAGAAATTAGAGACGGTCCAGAGGCAGGTAACAGAAGTGATAAAGGGCTTGGAAGGCAAGTCATAGAATAAGAGGTTGAAGAAAATAAGGATGTACAGTTTGCAGAAAAGATTCTTAAGAGGGGACATGACAGCAAGCTTCAAATACCGGAAAGCTGCTATAACGAAGAGGGAAAATAACTTCTCTCTCTTTCTGCCAAGACTAGGACAGTCCAATTGCTTGAAGCTGCAGTAAAGTTTTTCCTGATATCCAGTCTAAACTTCCTTCTTCACACAGTGAGGTAGTGGACTAGATTGCCTAGGAAAGCTGTGGACTCTCCATCATTGGAGGTGTTTAAGAAGAGGCTGGACAGGCATTGATCAGGATGATCCAGGAATAGCTATGCCTATATTCTAGGAAAGTTTGGATAGCGATGATCCTGCCTCAGGCAGGAGGTTGATCTAGATGATTTCTGAAGGTCCCTTACAGCCCTACTTCTCTATGATTCTATGCTGTAACAATTTTAAAAAAGCCTGGGGAATGAGGAGACTGACAGGAGACTACCCAGCTTTTCACCACACATACAGATACTTTGCAGAGTGGTTCCACTTATGAACCAAATGGTATTCTTAATCTAATCCCTGGCTCGGCAAAATGGTGGATCTGGCCAGGAGCCAGACTCCATTTCCCAGCAGCCCCCCCCGCCTGGTGTGTGTCCTGGCCAGTCTTGCCGGACACCCCAGGAGTGGCTGGGTTGTGACAGCGCAGGGCCGCAGAACCGGACCCTAGCCCTGTGGTGTCCGGGCACCTTGCTCCCAGGGTCTCCATGGAAACTAGCCAGAAGCAGCGCAGGCAGGGCAGGGAGCTGCATATGGGGCGCTTGTGGTGGTGACAATGCAGGGCCAGAGCCAGGGCAGAGCTGCAATCTGCTCTTTACATGCCCCTGCCCACAGAACCCATGCTCATCACAGGGGCCTGTAAATGTAGATCGTGGCTCTGCCCCAGCTCCAGCGCCACACTGGTCACCACCCGTCCTCACCCGTCTCACCCCTGGCCACAGCCCCAGTGTGGGCAGTGGGGCTGGTCCAGTGGCAGCAGCCAAAAGAAGCTGCTGCCACAGGGGCTGCTGGGAAATGGAGTCCGCCATGGTCTGGCTTTTGCCCACCCCGATCTAAATGGTCAGTCTTGCCAGCAGAAGTCACAACAAACCACACGCTCATTAAATCACCTTCCTTTTTACCCAATGCACATGCTAAAGTATAAAAGGAGGATGCTGTTTTTACATGATGAAAATACAGGTTGTGGGTTAGTTTTTAACTTTCAAAATACTAAGTATTTCATAGGGCACTATTCATTTAAGATAACTGTACTTTAAAAACTGAACATATAGGATGTTAGTGCATGTGGAAGTTGTATATTGACAGTTGGAGATACATGGTGACAGAAAAATACAGTATAGGAAGAAGCAATACAAACACAATGCCCCATTTTCTGACCTCAGTGGGCCTAGAACCTGGGCTGGGGAGACCCCCTCTAAGCAGCTCTGCCTTCCAGAAAGCAAGCTTTAAAATTATTTATTAAGACTGTCAACAAAAAGGACAATTTTGATTATCTTTATAATTTCATGACTTTCTCTTGGAGTAGAACTGAAACCTTTAGAGCTCATGAAACATCAAGGTTACTAAAAAACAAAAACAGCAACCAAAAAACCACAAATACCACATGGTACCTACCGACTTAAAGGAAAAGCCTTTTGGCTCAAGGTCGCTGGGCATTTCACAGTTACCAAGTCTTTTGGCTACTCTATATCTTTACTCCTCAGAAAGTATAGGTGTGTGTTTGTTTTAAATTTAGAAAGACGTTCTTATGAAACAGGCACCCATGCCACATTTATTACTGCTGAAGCAAATGTTTTGGGTTTGGTTCAATGTGTAAGAATATACTAAATATAAGTTTACTACATACTATCATGTCACTTATGGTTGCTTATTTTATATTTATATGTGCAGAGCTAGCACTACAACAGAGTTGCCCAGTGAAGTTGCATCAGCTATTTATACACCCATCTTCAGCTTTACCATATTTTGGAAGTAAAAGTAGAGTGGCCTCTTCAAAATCTGAGAAAAATGGGACAGCACCAAACAGCAGGCAAATGATTTCTCCCTTTCCTCCCCATAACAAACAATTCTGTGTTACTGAAGAAATACACTGAACTAACTCACAGAAAGTATTGGTTCCTGTGTTTACCATTTTATATGTAAAAGTACTTGGGTACCACTTGGTAACATACCTAAAGGATTTTGACATGTTTGCGCAAGTATTATGGAGCTAATACAGAAACAATGAATGTAGATGTATTTAAAAAAAAAAAAAAGTTGTTTGGGGTGCGCTGCCTGTACAAAACACACAACTTACCTCTGGGGCTAGGCTCACTTTTGAGTTGGAAGACCTGGGCCTCTACCTTGGACAGCTGCTGCTGCAATGTTTCTACTGTCTTCCTATGCTCTTCCTGCAGATGCCGGACTTGATCTCTAAAGCTGTTCCGAAGGGCTTCATTCTGAGCCGTGAGCTGATTCATAGCCTGTACATGCTCTGACTTCATGACTAAGTTCTCAGACTGTATTGTGCAGAGTCTGAAAAGTGTGCGTGTAAAAGAAGCATTAAAAATTGGAATACTGTGGTCTAACCAGACTGAACAAAAGACAAGAAACCAGCACCTCCCCCTATTACCCAAAGCATTAAAACAGGTAGAGATGGGAAAAAGCTGACCTTACATCCCTCTGAACAAAAATTAACCTTAACTACAGAAAGGTTCTTGCTTTGATACAAACGGAATAGAGCACCAGCAGAGAGATTTATTCTGTGCCTGAAGTGCCGTCAGGAGAGCAGGGAACAGAAAGAATAATGTGGAGACAGTCAGCCATTCCAAAAGCTGACCATGCTGTAGTCTGACTAGAAAGAAAGAGGTTTGGCTGTACTACATGGGGAAGAAAAAAGTAAGAATGGATATATGCTCAAGTCTCTTAGAGTGCGTCCAGATGCGTGTGGACATGTGGTTCCCTGGGGACAAGTAGTGGCAGTGTACCTTGTGACACCACTACCTGTCCCTTGGGAATGCCCATGCAATGCACGCTTTGGCATGCGGCAAGATACCTCGGGTGAGGTGGGGGGGCTGGGGCCAGCACTGTGTTGGCCCCAGCAGCCTTACCTGGTGCCCTGCGGGCCTCCTGGGGCTGCAACTATGGTGATTCTGCCGAACAGAGCCTGGTTGGCAGCAGAGCATGGCTTCAGCAGCATGCGCTGGCCGAGCATGCATTGGCTCCCGGTTTTTTTCCCCCACAGCTTTTTTGATCCCTGGATATTCAAGGGTCAAAAGAAAATCCCACTGGGAAAAAAAACCCAGTGCAGTGCACGCTTGGCTAGCAAACCCTTGCAGCCTGGAGAACACCAGACATTTGCAGCACCACATATTGCACAGTGTTTGTAGTACCACATACTGCACGACCGCACTCATCTGGATGTGCCCTTACAGAGCAAAAAGATACCCATATAACTATCATATTAAGAATAAAAATGCTCGTTTTGAAAAAAAACAAATTATGGTCTGTGGGAAAGACATGCTTAGAATGTTGTCTACCATATGAAGAGCACCAGGTAGATCTGAAATTACAATGATGGATTTCCTATCACTGTGATAACTAGAAATTTCAGCTTTTTTCCTGTTTTTGTAGTCTGGATACAAGTGATGGTTGGGAGACAGTTCAGAAAAGCAGACTTTGACTCACGCAGGAAACTCATGGGCAGGATCCTTTAGAAAGCCAGACTGAGGGGGAGAAGAGTCCAGGAGAGCTGGCTGCACTTCAGAGGAGCCTTACTGAGGCGTGCAGGAACAAACCATCCCTATGTGCAGGAAGAATAGCAAGCATGGCAGAAGATCAGCTTGGCTTCAGTAAATCACAAAAAGGAAGTTTATAAGAAGTGGAAAGTTGGTCAAATAACTAGGGAAGAGTATAAAAGTATTGCTCGAGCATACAGGGATGAAGTCAGGAAGGCCAAAGAGCAATTGGAGTTGCAGCTAGCAAGGGATGTAAAAGATACCAAGAAGGGTTTCTACAAGTATGTTGGTAGCAAGAGGAAGCTCAGAGAAAGTGTGGGTCCCTTACTGAATGGGGGAGGCAACCTTGTGACAGAGGATGCAGAAAAGACTGAGGTACTCAATGCCATTTTTGTCTCTGTCTTCACAGGCAATGGCAGCTCCCCAACTACTGCACCAGGGAGCACAGTTTGGGGAAGAGGTGAACAGCTCTCAGTGCTGAAAGAACAGGTTAGGGACTACTTAGGAAAGCTGGACATGTACAAGTCCATGGGACCGGATGGGATGCACCCGAGGGTGCTGAGGAAATTGGCTGATGTGACTGCAGAACCATTGGCCATCATCTTTGAAAACTCAGAGTGATCAGGAGAGGTCCTGGGTGACGGGAAAAGGGAAACACAGTGCCTATATTTAAGAAAGGGAAGAAGGAGGCATCCAGGGAATTACAGACTGTCAGCCTCACGTCATTCCCTGGAAAAATCATGGAGTAGATCCTCAAGGAATCTATTTCTAAGCATTTGGAGGGGAAAGGCAATTAGGAACAGTAAGCATGGATTCACCAGGGGCAAGTCATGCCTGACCAACCTGATTTCCTCCTATGACTAGATGCCTGGCTTTGTGGATGCAGGAAGACTGGCAGATGTGGTGTACCTTGATTTTAGGAAGGCTTTTGATATGGTCTCCCACATCATTCTTGCAGGCAAGCTAAGGAAGTCTGAATTGGATGAATGGACTGTAAGGTGGATAGAAAACTGGATGGAGCATTGGGGTCAAACAGTAGTAATCGATGGCTCGATGTCTAACTGGCAGCTAGTATCAAGTGGAGTGCCCCAGAGGTTGGTTCTGGGGCCGGTATTGTTCAATGTCTTCATCAACGACCTGGATGATGGGATGGAATGCACCCTTAGCAAGTTTGCAGATGACACCAAGCCAGGGGGGAGTAGTTGATACATTGGAGGGTAAGGCTAGGATGCTGAGTGACCTAGACAAATTGGAGGATTGGGTCAAATGGAATCTCATGAGACTCAACAAGGACAAGTGCAAAGTCAATCCCATGCACCAGTACAGACTGGGGGCTGACTGGCTGGGCAGCAGCTTTGCAGAAAAGGACCTGGGGGGTTACAGTAGACAATAAGTTGAACATGAGCCAGCAGTGTGCCCTTGCTGCCAAGGCAGCTAATGGCATACTGGGCTGCACTGCTAGTTGTGTCACAAGTAGCTCAACTGAAGTGATTATTCCCCTCTGTTCAGCACTGGTGAGATCACATCTGGAGTACTGTGTTCAGTTTTGGGTCCCCCATTACAGAAAGGATGTGGACAAATTGGAGAGAGTCCAGGAGAGGGCAACAAAAATGGTGAGGGGCTGAGGCACATTACTTCTGAGGAAAGGTTGGAGGAGGATTTAATAGCAGCCTTTAACTACCTGAAGAGGATGGAGCTAGACTGTTCTTAGTGGTGGCAGATGGAGCAACAGTCTCAAGCTGCAGCAAGGGAAGTTTTGGTTAGATATTAGGAAGAATTTTCTCACTAGGGGGATAGTAAAACACTGGAACAGGTTATCCAGAGAAGTAGTGGCACCACCATCCCTGGAGGTTTTCAAAACCCAGCTAGACAGAGCCTTGGCTGGGATGATCTAGTTGGGGATGGTCCTGCCTTGAGCACAGGGTTGGACTCGAAGACCTCCTGAGGTCCCTTCCAACCCTAATTTTCTATGATTCTATGGCTGGGATTAGCAGGAGGGTTCACTTGGGTGGAGGTTTGGGCAGGGAGGCAGTGCCTGAAGGAGGGCTGGGGAAGGAGCACTGAAGTTCACCAGCTTTGAGTACTGTATGGGGAATCTTTTCTTTGACTTGTTTATTGTAAGCCTCTCTGAGCCTTTTGGATGGGGCAGGATATAAAAGTAACAAATAAATATATACTCTGTTGGAATAATTACATCTTAAGAGTACACAGAACTTGGATATAGTGAGCTTCAAAAGAAAAATAATCTTACAAAAATGTAGAGATTTAAAATTCCCAGTTTGCTCCCATCCAGTTCCCAGAGCAGAAGCCCCAGAAGACTAGCAAGTAGCTAGCAGCCTTTTTGCTATATTCCTCTGACTTCCCACATACAATTAAATCATTTTTATAAATTCATCAGCTCAAGTAAAGAACGATTTGGCACTAGCTGCATATCTAGTGATACACTGTATCTGATCATTTGAGAATCTTACTTTTCTCGGAGTTCTGCCTCTTTTGCGACTGTCTCCTGCAGCATTTTATTATGTCTTTCCAGCAGGGTGTCATGTTCAGACTGCAATGCTTGGAGTTCAGTTACATTGATTTGTAAATTATTCTGGGTATCTTGTAACTTGGCTTTTAATTGGTTCATCATCATTTCCAAATGTTCTCTAAAGGAAAAAAAAGTGTACACATTATTATATTTCAGGACTTCTAAATATCATAGTAATATGGGCAACTTATCAGAGCTGAATTAATTTCTTTCATTACACTAAGGCAGGGGTAGGCAAAATATGGCCTGTGGGCTGGATATGGTCAGCCAGGCACTTTCATCTGGGCCACAGTGCCCTGCAACTAATTGCACCCTGCCCAGTCCTTCCGCCCACAAGGGTGAGAGCGAAGCGCCCACATGTACAAGCCCCCAACATACTCTATTGGGCCTCACTCCCACTCTTGTGGGTGGAAGGGCTCTGCCCAGCTAGCAGCTTCCAGGCAGGACTCCTGCTGCAGCCAGAGCCTGCTTGCTCAGGGCAGCAGGTAGGGAAGCGGTGGGGCTGGTGGGGTGGAGCTGCAGCTGGGCGGAAGTGGGAGCGCAGCACAGAACTAGGACTCAGAGGGGCAGTGGGCGTGTGGAGTTCAGGTGGGCAGGGTGTAGGTGTGGGTGTGAGGGTTGGGGGTGTATGGACCCCACCACACTCCCCTCATGGTGTGCGGCCCCTGCTGCAGGCAATAGCAGCAGGCAGGGAGGTCAAGGTGCTTGTGCCTGGCATAAGCACCTGGTGGGTTGCAGCTCTTGCCAATGCTGCGCGGGAGGAAGTGGAGCCTGCCCTTCCTATTGCTGAGGGTCTGTGTTGCGCGCCTGCAACTCCACCACTCGCAGCGGGAGAAGCCCCACACTGGAGCCCACTGCCTCCCCCGCCCCCTGCTACGTGGGTCCCCACACGCTGCCGGGAGTGGAAGGAGCCCCGCCTCCTGCTTCCACACAGAGTCCAGCACAGGGCTTGCAGCAGGGAACAGTGGAGCTGCAGGCTTGCAATGCAGAGCCCCTGCAATAGAAATGGCCAGGCAGGCTGTGTGGGGCGTCCCTGCTCCCAGCGCAGTGCTGGCCGCCTCTATTGCAGGGTCTCTGTGTTGCGTGCTGCAGCTCCACACTTGCAGTGGGGAAGCCCTGTGCTGGACTGCACAGGGAAACAGGAGGTGGGGCTCCCTCCACTCCTGGTGAAGTGCGGGGACCAGTGCAGCAGGGCATGAGGGAGGCAGAAGTCTCCAGTGTGGGGTTTCCCCCACTGCAAGTGCTGCAGCAGCAGGCACGTAATGCAAAGCCCCAGTGATAGGGCAGGCTCCACTCCCTCCACCCATGCAGCGTTGGCCGGAGCCATGCCTGCACTGGGCATGAGCACCCTGATCTCCTCACCTGCTGCTGCTGGCAGGCAGTGGGAGCTGCACATCGTGGGGGGAGTGTGTGGAAGGTACTTACACCCTCTCCCTCCACCTCACACCCACACCCTGACCCCACAACCCCCATCAACATATACATGCACCCCAACATATCCTATACCCCCCTACACAGCAACACCCTCTCATACCCCCCCCAGATACTCCCACACCCCACTATACACATACACACAATATAAAAGTGTAAAACTTTATTTTTGAGTTATTATGCAATCCCTTCTATATACAGTATACAATCACAAGTCATGACAAGTATTTCTTGTAATAAAATTAAAATATATTATAGTAGGAGTTTGAATTCTAGTGTATGATTTGTTTTTTTCTGGTTCTAAGATAGTAACCCCGACTCCCAAAAGGAGTATGGGAGGGGACACAGTTAGGGGAGGGACTTTCTGTGGCAAAGGTCAGGGGTTAGGGGGCAGGACTTCTGGTCCCAATGTGGCAACCATGGGGCAGGACAACTGTCAAGGGGCGGGACTACCTATGTGGCCCTCGACAGCTTGCCAAAACTTGTTAAACGGCCCTCCGCCCAAAATAATTGCACACCCCTGCATTAAGGCTAGATACAGACAGTCAAAAAGCCCAAGGTTGAATAGATTCAATCTTCATAGGTCAATCTAAGCTGTGTAAACTGAACTGAGAAGCAAGTAAACAGACATTGACTTCTGATTCTGGAAATACAGTCACAGGCATGTGGTGATCCAGGCCAGAAGCTGGGGGGAGCTAGACAACACCTCCCAGCATGCAGGCCACTGTCAAACAAAAAGGAGGAAAGCTGAGAGATAAGCCCTCTGAGGCTTTTCCCCCCTCCCTGCTCAAGCTG